GCCAAAGGGACTCGTCATCTACTTACTTGCACGTCAGTAGACGTCTAAAGTAGTCAAGTCTAGCAGCAAACTCATACACAAGCCAATCGATGCGACATTAGCACCCCTGAATAGTGACGAAAAGACCCCTCAGAGCTTGTGCCCCACTTTGCTACTGCTTCCACGATGTTGACGGGGCCTCTACAGACCCCCGTAGAGGAGAAGACCCGTCTTCTCCCCCCCCCCTCCTGTCCCATTTCCCACCCTTCAGTGTACATATTGCTGGAACATCCAGCCTTGAGACCACCGCTGAGGAATGCCCATCTGCGGTTCGGCCGAGGAGAGCAATCCTGAAGACGTTTTCGTTTGCGAAGTGTCTGTACGTCTTCTGTTTGTCGCACTATTTCTGCCTGTGTGCATAAAAGTGTGCAGGTACTTGTGCACAAGAGACATATTGCCGACTGGTAGTGCATCTCTTCAAAGAGTTCAGCGGCATTTCAACGCAGAAAAACCAAGAAAGGGGCACCCTTGTGGGCAATCTCTGTATGTACCCCTACTTGCAAAAACACAGTTTTCCTATGGAAACGCAAAATAAATTTATTCTTTTTCCTTTTAACAGCATGCAGCCCATTCTTCCTTGATCGCAATTATAGTGGTTGAGGTGAAAAGTATAATTTGGGGCTACAACGCATGAGATGTCTGGGAGCAAAAAGTTGAATCACAAGCCGAAATTATTCAGCTTAAAATTTGGCTACTAGAGGATGCTGTCCGAAAAAGAGTCTGATAATGGGGTATCTTTCATTCCGTTTGAGAAGGCGAGCGGAAGACCATCATAAATTGGCTGCATCGGATACCGAAGGAGGGTTGCCTTGGGCTTTTGTATGTTGGTTGGCGCGAAAAAGACCTCGGCTCACCGTCCTGCGACCCTGATGATGCCGTGTTGAGCTTTCGGCCCTCATGTGACGGACAGCCCCAGAGCCAGAAACCATTATTCATGAATACTCACCAAAAAACCTTAAACCAAAAAAGGTTGCCGGCTGGCATCCGACTTCCTTCTTATACTTCACCTTGCGATTTTATTAAGGCATTTCATAAGGTCTTCATCGCACAATTCAACATACAAAAGTCCAAGGCAACCCTTCGTTGGTATCTGGTAGGGTCAATCTAAAACACAGCGAAAGACATGCCAGTATCATATTTGAGTAGTAACTATTTGTGGCTATGAAGAGAAGCTGGGCTTCCAATAATCCATTAGTAGATTGATACTGGCATACCTTTCAGTTCGCTTGAAAAGGCGGGTCGAAGGGATTCGTAGATTGGCCTCCCTGGATACCACTTATATTCGTGTACATCGATTCTACATCAAATATTATTGTTCTATTATTTACTCATCTATTAATTGTATAAAGTCATACGAATTCTTTATTGAAAATGTCCAAAGACCTGAGATTTGCTTTAATTGACCGAAAAGGAATCATGACGTTTTATGCATCATACCACCATTATTATCTACAATGATCCTAAGTGGGACACCCTCTTTGTGGATGTTGGGCAGACCATACAGGCATTAGGATTAACTTTAGATCAACACCCATAGATTATATCAGGAAATAAGACAAGAAAGGAGTCAATCATGCGATTGACGAACTTATTAACGAATAGTGAATTTTACGAACAGACAGGAGGATTAGCTATGGGATAGTTAGTGTTTGTCTCCAGTTTTAGTTAAAAAACTACATGGCTGAATTGGAAATTACTCTAAGTTCCGAAACTATTGGTTTGACATATGCATGATTACTTTGCTATCTGGCAGCATGGCAAAGAGCGTTTAGATGACTTCCTTGGTTTAATGAATAGAGTAGATGAGGCGACTAAATTCAGTATGAAGATAGAAAAAGAGAATAATTTACCATTTCTAGATGTAATAGTTAGTAAAGAAGGGAGCAAACTGGGTGTAGATGTATATTGGAAGCCCCCAAATGCTGGTCTCCTTCTTAATTTCTTCTCGAATCATACTAATGGTGTTAAAGTGTGAGCAATGAAATAAATGACAATAAGGAGTTTACATCTAGCTGACGTAAATCGTCCGGAACAGAAGTTAGAAAGTCCAAAAAAATCTTAAGTGAGAACAATTATCCTGGAAGAGTAGTTGTTAGCAATGTCAAAATATTGTCAAATAGAGTGAAGGAAAACCATTATTTTGGCCAAAATAAGGAATTATACAATTCTTCGGCCATGTTCATAATGCTAATATGCTGCAAGCGTTCAAGAAAGCTAAGCGAATTATTGAGGAAATGGAATGTCAAGACAATATATAAAGAAACAGTAGCGCTTTACTTGATGATCCCTTCCTGTAGAGAAACTTCAGACGCCCTCTGAAGATCAGATTGCTATAAGGTTTTATGCTTATGTAGTAGTGTTTATTCGGGTCAGACTTGTCGACCCATACATAAGAGGCTATCAGAACAGAGAGCCGCCTGCAAAGGTTTATAGACTCAAAAATTGGAAGTGGCTGAACATGTTTTCGCTACAGGACACTAAAATAGAGTTGTCCAAATCCCATCGTTTTGCCGGATATGCGGACTTCACAGCTGAACGTAAGATCAGAGAGTCAATTGAAATTAATAAAATAAATATGAGATTGTTATAGCAGATATACGTTTGCTTCATCGACAATTGCACCAAAAAGAATATGCTACGGCGAAAAGGCCTGGCCTTCCCTGAAAATTCACATTTGCCCGGTGACCCAAAAGGCGCTCGTGGTAGTGTAGCCGAGTGGTTAGTATGCTCG